ACTATAAACTAATCATACGATCTAAAATGTATATTATTGCACTTCCAATAGTACAGATTTATATAAGAATTCAAATTGATATCCTATATCTTTCTAATCTTTTGTGAAATACGCGGAAATTTATGGATGTATCTCAATTTTATAAAAACAAGTTGTGAAAGCATTCTGGCAGTTGTTGTAATTAATGATGGCATAATACAAATCGCTGATTTTACGATTTTCCATTTAAAATTTCAGTGACCACGAAGTACAAAGCATTGAACGGCCGAGGCAACAAAGAACACTGAACACAACAGAGGCTTTCTTTTATACGCAATGTACCTTGACGACTGGATTCAATGCCTTGTTCTTCGCCACTGGAACAGGGTATGGAATATATATCGTGAATTACAGCCAAAGCTACTGAAGCGTTCCTATCGAGGTTGGAAGGCTCGATTTATTATTCCAAATTTGGTTCCAAATTTATATTTAAACGTGCAAAAACATCGACAATGTAAATTTCAAATCTGACGTCGATTTGAACCTCCATTCCTGATCGGATTATTCCAATAATAAAACGAAGTGCATGTTGGGTAAAGCGCGGGAATGACGTTCACTCGTTCGCGSCAGTGCATTCCAAAAGTTGTTTCACGATGTCGACGATACAAGGATGGTTTCTGATGCTTCCAAACCTCTATGTCCTCTCCAGAATATCATATGTCAAAACAACAGGCTGCTTACCGCTTATCCTAGCGAATTGACAGAGTCATACCGACGATAATGTTCGATGACGTTTGTTACGCACCGAAAAGTTACGCGAAGCCGTTCAGAAACTTCCGTTTTTGTGARTCCGCCGTTAAATAATTGTATAATGTGTTGTCTTTCAGCAATCGATAAAGGTTTTCCTGGGGTGTACGGCCTCTGAAGACTATTCACCCCCGTCTTTTTTATTGAAATAAGTGCAACGTACTGTTTATTTTTGGAATAGTCCAATCAGGAATCGACGCGAGGTTCAAATCGACGTCAGATTTGAAATTTACATTGTCGGTTTTGTTTTTGCACGTTTAAATATAAATTTGGAACCAAATTTGGAATAATAAATCGAGCCTTCCAACCTCGATAGGAACGCTTCAGTAGTTTTGGCTGTAAATGCTACTTTCATCCACTGTATGAAATAATATTGAAATACCTGTATAAGACATTAACCCCCGAAGCATCCGTTTACGGTAGTTCGGAGGCTAAAACATGTGTGTAAAACTAGACCAAAACAAGGACACACCAACCAAGCAGCACATGTAACGACCTCATTGTAACAACTGCAAGTATTACTGTAGAACAGTCAACAGTGAACAAATGAGACTCTTCCCGTTATCATATAACTTGCTTTCAGCTGTTGTCAAAACCTGAAGGACTTGACGTAATTGATGAGCAGGTTGAGTAATAATTGGCCCATTATTTTTTGGAAGTGCTCGACTTCCTTCTCGTGTCCAGTTTTATTCGTGCGGCTTTCTAATGAAGGTTTGATACACGTCTTTATTTAAGAAATGTAGAATGGCGCGCGTGTCTCTGCCCTCTAACCGCTGATATAAACACGGCTGAAGTTGAAAAACAGTGACAAGAGAAGCAATCTCGAGTGCTAAAAAATCAGCGTTTTTCGAGCAAAAAATTAATTTTGCTGCTAAGCCATATCTCTGTCCTCTGATGTAAACACGTCGTCATCCAATCAGAGCGCGCGTTATATATCAAACATTTTATAAAGCTATATAAAGTAAACAGCTGAAATATAGCAAATAACTTAACAAACTTTCAAAACATTTAAAAAATCGGTTGACTACACATTCATTGTCAATTCTAAACAATGACGCCGGGCTTTTTTTCAGTWTGCAAGTTTTTGTGGAATCAACTGAAAATTTTTAAAGTTTGACATGAAAATATATGGATGCCAATCGAAAAGAGTGTTACTAATTCATGTAAAACTTTAAAAACCTTTTACATTTTGAGGACGGGTCACTTCGAAGCATAAACGGATCCGTGTAAACACTGTTTCAATCCGTACCGAAATGTGGACGGTTCCGTGTGAACAGTGGGAACTGTCCTAAAACCAAGGTGTCCTCAAGTGTGAACGTAGTCTTAGTTGAAAAAATACCATGAACATGCATTTGAGATGCTG